TTACTGAATGAATTTGGGGATGTGTTTCTTGTCAAGGTGTTAATGAGATTAAAGAAGCACAAGAATGTCCAGACAGATGGTCAGCAGCTGGATTAGGACTGAGGCTAAATTCTAAAATTTTCTACATCAGATCAAGTTTGAACCCTTACAAAAGAACAGCAGATTGGAGGTAAAGTGAGAAGCATAACAACAAATTTTTTTTTTCAGCTGGGATCCCAGTGCTGTGGGGAAGATGGAGGCAGGGATGCTGTGTATGTTTGCAACACCTCTCAATGAAGTAGGAGTACTGAATCCGTACGGGGAAACCCACTTTCCGGATGTGGATGGTCTCCAGCATCCCTGCATGCCTCAGCTGGGCCGATACATAGTCCACGTCAAAGATCCCAGGGAGCTGAGAAAGGGCAGGTGAAATGCAATACATGATCATACATTGTCCTGCCAACGAAAACCTGAAATTAGTTGTCACGATGCCAAGAGGCATTTCCACCAACACAAGACTGGTTCTGTGGTTTGCAAATCAAAATCTGAATCGTGCTGCATGCTCTCACTAAAAAACAAAAAACGGTTCAACAAAACAGTGGGACCTAAAGCACAAACTGTGACTGTCATCAGCTGCTGTATTCTATGAAAAAAGAATAAAGCAACTGACAAGGTCTGCTTTAAAAATATTATAGATGTCATTCGCCTTACACATGCTTTTTGTCTATGTCAGTGTAATATCCATAATTCACTCCATTGAATTCAAGTAAATATGATGGTCAAGTCTTGCAAGTTAAGAAATACAACATCCATCATCTGGTTTGGTTTTTCCTGACCTACATTTACTGTAAAAAAAAACAAAAAAACAAAAACTAAACAAACACATACATAAACAGAGTGTATCTTCATCATGGTGCAACAGTTGCTGCTACAAATTGTGGCAAATGTAGTTTCACGTTTCCAGAATGGAACCAGCCCTTCTAGTGTAAAAGCATTGTTAGTGTCAGTTTAAAGTTGCTGGTGTTACCTTGACATAGTTGGGCTTCAGACAACGGATGAAGGTGGTTTTGCATCTGAGATTTCAAAGGGAAAAACACAGATCACAGATCAGGGAAGAGGCTTAGACTTGCTAGTGAATCAAGCAGCTGTGCAAAATTGTAAATTGGAAGTGCATTGCAGATTTCATGCACTTAGAAAGAGTACATCTACTTCTTTCTTTTGTGTGGACACCAGCTTCTGCAGCTCAAAAACCATTTGCAACTTCTTAGCTACAAATACATCTGCTACTGTTGTTTTGCACTTAGTTAAAGCATCTTCCAGCCCTCCTGTCACTGCTATTACAACAAAGAATGCATTATGTGTACATCCAAAGCTTAGCACTTTTAGATATCAATCTGAAATTTGATGCAATTGTAGACAAAAAATGTGGGAACAAGAAATTATATTTAAGTAGGTTGACTGAAATACAAAACAAATCCTGTGGCAAATTTCTTTAGAGAAAGCTATATTCAGCGTCCTGTATTTTGATGAAGATAAACGTATTTTAGAAATGTATTCCATTACATTTAATGTTTAAAGTATCTTCAATTTCAGCCATTAACCATAGTTGTATGATGTTTACATGAGAGATCATTAAGTATTAAATACAAATGTAGGTGGAAATAGGTCCAAAGCAGTTACTACAGTCTACAGTCCTGTCTGATGTGTCTCATGCTGTTATGTGTTCTCAGTGATGAGACACTAAATGAAAGCATTATGAACTGACAACAATCATCCATGCATTATCTATACACTGCTTTATCCTCTGCAGGGTCACTGAGGGGCTGGAGTCTGTCCCAGCTGACTCAGGGTGAAGGCAGGGGACACCTGGACAGGTAACGAGTCCATCATGGGGCCTGAGAACAACCATATTCCTCATATGTACTAAAGCTACAGTATGCTCTCCACAAACCACAACTGTCTGACTTCAAACAGGCAGTCAAACAGTAACTTTTCAGGTTTCACACTTATCCACAGGTTTGGTTCGGCATACGACAGTCTGCTCAGTGAGCTGGTACCTCTCCAGACGGGTGGTGAGTTCAGTCAGAGACTGGAGGAAGTGTGATGCAGCAGTGGAAGGCTGCTGGCGGAGGCCTTTCCCCCTCCATCCCAGCTCCCTCTGCTGGATGTAATTGTCCTGAAGCTTCTGGAACAGCTCCGACACCATCTAACAAATACAGCGACATGAGGGAAACATGCTGATTCAAACCACAACAAAAATGTGAAATATTCAGGAATCTAAAACATGAACATATTTAATAATTTTTTGGTCTTACTTATGGGTTGTTTAATCTCTGATTATCAGGTTGTTTTTTTTAACAAATTCTGCTCGGCCATCAATGATCTGATTGAAATTTTAATAACATAAAATATAGATAACAATGATGATAGTTGTAAAAGCCTGGCTTGATACATCAAATACCTTTCAACATTAAAAATTTTGATTGTTGCATCAACCTTGTTTTCAACACGTTTTTCATGCATTGAAATTTGAGTCTACACTGGAACGACAATATCTTAGGAAACATTCAAAATAAAAGCCTTAAGTGTCCACTGTTATTTCTCATCATGCCATTGATTGCAATCAGAGTTTTTTTTCTTTTCTTTTTTTTTTTTTAATATGGGCAGATTTTTTGATTTTGGGCCTTACTTTGTAGGTATAAACCTTGGTTTGGAGGAGGCTCAACAGGTAGCTTTGTATTATTTCTTCACTGCATTATTTCATTATAACAGCTGCATAATATACAGATTGGTTGAGACAGTGGGATTTTTCTAGTATCAAATTTTCANGTGACCATAGGAACATGTTCAATCAAGGTGTGTCCTCTAATTAGCATCACAGGTGTCTACAAACTTGTAATCAGTCAGTCGGCCTATTTATAGGGTTACAAGTCGTCACTGTGCTGTTTGGGGACATGGTGTGTACCACACTAAACATGGACCAGAGGAAGCAAAGGAGAGAGTTGTCTCAGGAGATTAGAAAGAAAATTATAGACAAGCATGTTACAGGTAAAGGCTATAAGGCCATCTCCAAGCAGCTTGATGTTCCTGTGACTACAGTTGCACATATTCAGAAATTTAAGATCCATGGGACTGTAGCCAACCTCCCTGGACATGGAGGAAAACTGATGACAAATCGAAGAGACGGATAATATGAATGGTAACAAAAGAGCCCAGAACAACCTCTGAAGACATGAAAGGTGAACTCCAAGGTCAAGGTACATAAGTGTCAGATCGCACCATCCGTCATTGTTTGAGCCAAAGTGGGCTTCATGGGAGACGACCAAGGAGGACACCATTGTTGAAAACAAATCATAAAAAAGCCAGACTGGAATCTCCAGAGACAACTCTCTCCTTCACTTCCTTAGGCCCATGTTTAGTGTGGTACACATCATGTCACCAAACAGCACAGTGACTACTTGTAACCCTATAAGGCCCTCCAGGCCTGTTTCATGAGTTTATCTATTTTTTTAATAATTCTGTTCAACCACGGTTCAAAAGCAATGTCTGATTTTCATTGGTTAATGCCCCAGTACAATTAATGGAGTCAGTGGAGATACTAGGCAGTTTCTGATTTGGTGAACATTTAAAAAGAATCTTACTGTATTGTACAGAATTTGCTGCAACTTAGCAGTTTTAAAGGAAACTGACAAAATAATGGCATTTCAATTCTATCTGTACATGTACAACAGTACCAATACATCATTGAAAAATTCTCTATCACAAGTAAAAGATCTGCATTATTGCTGTCCTTCAGAGATTGCAGAGTGGGGCACATTCAACGAAGACGCTGCCTGGTAAAACTATAGATGAAATGGATACAGCATTTATGGTGCTTCAGTTCTGATGCATCAAATTTGGTAGAGTTGCAGTTGAGAATTTTCAGATGTTGCTCTGGCCTGGCGATGGAAACACAGAGACTTATTGTATTTTAAAATTCTCCCAAGTGTCTCTGATCCATGAAGCCCAAGGGTGTTCATTCTGGCCATCTAGCTGTAGAGTT